GATACAAAGTGCATGAATTTGAACAACTGATCAAAGCCATTCCTAAAAACAAACCGTTTCTCTTATGTGGGGATTTAAATTTCCCAGAAACAAACTGGAACACCCTCACCAGTACTGACGAGGAAGAAAACCAAATACTGCAAATTTTTGAAAATGGACTCTTTAGGCAGGCGATAGATTTCCCAACATGTGTGAAGAACATACTAGACGTAGCCTTCTATCGGAATTGCTATACAAGTGCCGAACAAGATTTTAACGTTTCCAAGATTTATGACTGCTCAGATCACAATGCCATAATGTTGTCTATTGAATGCACGGTATCAGAGCCGAAACCATACTTGGAAAATTTTAGAAGTTTTGGAAATGCCGATTTTGAAGGAATAAACAATTTTATAAACGAGAACCCATTTGAACCAGTATGCCACACAAACATTAACAAAATGCATGAGGAGTACACCCAATATTTGGATGAAATCATTAAGAGTTTTGTGCCTCTCAGAACAAGACATAGGCAATCACTTCCACCTTGGATAACAAGTAGCACTTCAAATTTGATCAAAAAGTTACAAACAAAACGGCAATCATGTATACTCAAACCGACCAACTACAGAAGACAACAAGTTAAACTGTTTGAAAATTTAGTAACTGAATCATCGGAAGTGGACAGGAAAAACTACCAAGAGGAATTGTTTAGAACACGGAACACTAATGTAATTTTTAAACACCTAAAGAACTTGAATAAACATACAAGTCTTCCTAAGTTACTCATAAAAGATGAAGTTGAAAGCACAAATCCAAACGAACAAGTCAACATGCTAAACGACTTCTTTCATTCAGTTTTTAATCCTAAAGAAAGTTTTAGTATTAGAGATATTCAATTTGGAAATCCCTTGTTAACGAATTTTGATATATCGAAAAAGACAGTAAGTGAGATTTTATCAACTCTGGACGTAACAAAGTCACGCGGCCCAAATGGGTTGCCACCTAGCTTTTTTCAGAAAACGAACCGCAATATATGCAAACCGATGAACAAAATTTTGAGAAACGTAAAACGCCTACGAAAAATACCTGATTCATGGAAAACAGCTGCAGTTACTCCTGTTCACAAAAAAGGTGACCGAAAATTGGTGAATAACTATCGACCAGTATCGCTATTAAATATTGACAGCAAAGTCCTTGAAAAATGTATATACAAAGACCTGTACCCTTACTTTGCCTGGTATTTGACGAAACATCAACACGGTTTTACTAAAGGTAGATCAGTTTTGACAAACATGCTCTCCTTCCTGAAAGAAATATATGAAGCGCTTGACAATGACTCAAACGCAGAAATTGTAGCAGTCTACACTGACTTTGCAAAAGCCTTTGATAAAGTTCCGCATTTTGATCTACTCAAGAAAGTTGCACTTATAGGAATAGGAGGCTGCATGTTAGAGGTACTCTATGACTATTTGAAAAACAGGAAACAGTTTGTACGAGTAGACAATATCAGCTCAAAAGTTTTAGAAGTCACTAGTGGTGTTCCCCAAGGATCACTTTTAGGACCACTGCTCTTTTGCATTTTTATTAACGACCTACCTGAAGTACTCAAATTCTCTGAACCATATATTTTTGCGGATGATCTTAAACTACTTTCCATCAAAAAAACATCAATTGAAATTCAAGAAGATCTGGACAAAATTCAGCAGTGGGTAACTGAAAACAAAATGGAATTAGCACTAGATAAATGTGCAAAAGTAAGTTTTAGGGGCGGAGACGCCAACTCTATGCTTTTTGGTGTAGTGCTTGGAACATCGATGGTTGTGAAAGATCTGGGAATTTTTGTGTCGGGCGATTTAAGTTGGAAGGTACACATTGAAACAAGATTAAAGAAGGCAAACCAAGTACTGTACCTCCTGAGAAGAAACCTATCAGCAAAGATAAATACGTTTGTAAAGTTAGGCCTGTATAAGTCACTAATACTCCCAGTGTTATTATACGGACTCTCATGTACACATATATCGAGGGGGGATCAAGTGCAGTTGGAGCGATTTCAAAAGAAAGCAATCCGGTGGATCACTGGAAATAAAACGGGAGTGTACATCAACGAACTACGCTTGCTAAACATTTTACCCCTGACCATGTTCATCCAGCTAAATAACATCTTACTTCTTGCCAGTCTTGATTCTAATGAACGAAATGAAATAGTGTTAAACAGGCGAACCACACGGGCTAGAAATATAGAAATTTTTGAGATGCGAAAAGTGAGAACGGAAAAAGCGAGAAACGAATTTGTTTTCAGAACCAGTAGGATTGTAAATCGATTAGAACCATATATTCATTTTGATAAACGAATCGGCCTCAAGACGAGAATTTTAAACACGATGTGGAAATTTGTAAACGAGAGATTTTCAGAAATGACAACGTGCACGTGGCAATTATTCTGTGATTGTATCACGTGCAGAAACAAGTGGACATTGTTTTAGAGAAGACGCCGGGACCAAGACTCCCAACAGCAGTGCTGTGAATCCCCAACAACAACAACAACAACAACAACAACAAAGGTGCATTGGCCTTGTGCTTTTTAGCGAGGCCATTAAAGCTAGCTGGTTGGGAGCCGCAAGATCGCACTTTGTGTTACAATTCTTTTGATAAGTTTCCAGACTGGTGAAGGGATAACAGAATAGAGCGAATTTTCTCTTGTTCTTTCACAGTTTCTTGTTTCGCACTGGCTCTTGTGTTGATGGTAACTTTCTGAAATTGTTTAACGGCTAGCAAGTCTAGCAACTTCTGATGGTACCTCGCTTCTTTCATAATGCAAAAACCAGAACCTTTGTCGTACGGAACAGCAAGAACGTTATGATCTTTCAGCCACCTGATAGCACGGGTAACTTTTCTGTGAAAGCCATGCCTCTTTTATTATTCAATATAACCCACAAAGAGAGCATTAATTTTATTCAGTTTTTCCGGAGGTATATCAGCATATTTCAGATCATCCAGTAGAATATCAACGCGAGCAAGAAACTGCTTTTCGTTGAATGTTCACCCAAAGCTGACAATGTTCACCCAAAGATTTTGAGCGAATGCCGATATGAAATAGCTGAAATACTGTGTTCTTTAATGCAAAACTCCTGGGATAAAGGAGAAAAGCCCGAAGATTGGAAAACAAAAAGTGACCCAAACAATTACAGACCTGTTAGCCTCACATCAATCTGTTGCAAAAAAATGGAAAAAGTGATAAGAAGACACCTGTTTGACTTCTTGAGACAAAACAACATCTTATCAGACAAACAGTATTGTTTCTTACCAGGTCGATCAACGACTCTCCAGTTATTAAAAGCGCTCGACGACTGGATTGCGGAACTGGACAAGGGTTATGAGGTAGAAATAGTGTACATTGACTTCCAAAAAGCTTTTGATAGCGTTCTCCACAAAAGACTATTGAACACAATATCAAAATATGGGATCAAAGAGAAAACTTTAAACTGGATCAGAGCATTCTTAACGGATAGGAGGCAATGGGTAATGGTAAACGAAAGTTTTTCGAAGTGGGCACCAGTTGTCAGCGGAGTCCCACAAGGATCTGTCCTGGGACCAATACTTTTTTGCTATACATCAACTCGATGACGGATGGCATTACATCCCCTATGCTTCTATACGCAGATGACGCCAAAATATTCAGATCAAGTACCGATGAGACTCAAGAGGAAAAACTACAATTCGACCTGAATGAAATTTCCAAATGGGGTGAGAGCAGTTTAATGAAGTTCAATCTGACAAAATGTCATACACTCACCCTAACGGGAAGAACGAAACAATCTGAACGGAACTATACCCTAAATGGCGGAAAACAACTAAGCAAAGTTGAATCAGAGAAAGATCTGGGAGTTATCGCTGACTCAAGATTACAATACCGTGAGCACATCGCCAAAAAGACTAAAGTGGCAAACAGTATAGTCGCGATAATCAGGAAAAGCTTAGTGAACCTGACCTCTGAAATTCTAACGACCCTGTACAAAGCCTTAGTAAGAACACATCTGGAGTATGCAAATCAGGCATGGAACCCATACCTTAAAAAAGACAAAATTACGATTGAAAATGTTCAGCGACGCACAACGAAACTTATTCCAGGTATACGCAAATACAGCTACTCGAAACGACTTCAGATTTTGAAACTACCAACACTCGAGTACAGACGCAAACGCGGTAGAATGATTGAAGTCTTCAAAATTCTGAACGGCCTATACGATACAGCAGCGACTGAATGATTTTTTACAATCAACGAAAGACGCAAGAAGAAACCCTTTCAATAATGTGACCAAGTAGACCAGAACTACTGCTAGACAAAATTTCTTTACAGTTGCAGCCATCAACGACTGGAACTCGTTACCCGAAACAGTAATATCAAGCGAGAGTGTACACGTTTTCAAATCAAGACTAGACAAACTATGGGCGTCTGAAATATATGACGCATCGTTTATGGAATGACGAAATGGACGTCCAAGAAAGATCTGGTCGACAGAGGCCTGGGAGGCCTACAGATCAGAAGTTAACCTGTGAAACGCTTGAGCACAGGGTGCTTAGGGCCAAAACGAAGGCAATCTTCAACAAAACTGGGGATACGAATATCATCAATAACAGCGAGGTTGTTGGATGTGTTCAGTAACGACAGTTTCTGTCAAATTTTCAAGTTTCCTGTTGTCGAACTTTCAGCTCTGATTTTCTATCCAAAGACTTGAGGTGAATGAAGAACCACGCCGTTGGAACAAGGCAACCCGGTAGGTTTCCAATGAAAGCAACTCTTGATTCGGTGAGCTTACTTTCCAGTTTCGCTCATTCAGCTCGAGCCCGAACCACTTCTTTGGATAACAATTTCCTTTGGAAATTTCTTTTGTGAATATGCCTGAGTTCGTTGACCCTGCTGTTGGCTGTGTTAGATATTTTTGAGCAATGCACGTCGTAATCATCAACTGGTCAAAAAACACTCGTTCTTTAGTTTTTATATTTTACTGATGCTCTTCAGGTTGAAAATGGCAACTAAAGGACGCAAGGGTAAATCATCCGCAACGAAACCTAAAGTGTCCACAACATCCAAGGAATTTTCTTTGGATGACCTAAAGGTAGTTCTGTTTACATAATTTGTTAAAGTTTTAAGCTTATAACCAGTTATATTGATAATCCTTGTAATAACTAGGTGCGGTAAATTATGAATCATTTTTACCCTTGTCTTTTATGATTTTTTATATGTCAAAGGACTAATAGAGTTTTCTAACTAAAATACGATTAGGTATCTTTAAAATGGAAGTGTTCATTAGGACGAAGAAGTTGAAGCGTTAGAGAAGGAAGGTGCTTTTGCGTGGCAGATTTTAAAGAAAAGCACAATAAAAGATCTGAAGAAATTCAATGCCGAAGTTGTCATGGACAAATTGGCTGGCATAATGGGTCTCAAAAATTGGCAGAGTGACTGGGGCACAGGAGCTCTGTTAGACTTCTACGTGCTATCGTATTACTGGTGTGCACAGAAGTCTTTCGATTCGAGACAGATATCGGCCGTTTTTACTCTCGTTAATATGCTTATGGGCCTAATAAGAGGTAATAATTTGGAAGGTTTACTAATATACTAAAAGAGCCAGGGTCGTTTATGCTGTGTCTATTTTTAGACGGCAGCTCGCTCTTCGAGTTGACGGAATTTTTAACCGATACTTTTCGTGGAGTATCAACGGTAGCATCTCAGCTAGGATCCAACGAGCAAAATGCGACGGCTTATCAAAATTCAACTGAAAGTGAGGAGGGTAAACAAACGGCACACCAGTGTCCCATTGACTGCATATCAGCGGAACAAGCTAAATCGCTCTCGGAGTTCTTGACCACCACGTAATCAGAGTTCAAATGTGAAATTTGTCGTTTCAAGTTGTGACTTATGTTGAGAGCTTTCAATGTTATAGGATTCTTCAGCATTATCACCTATACGCTTATGGTTATTCTGAAACACAAGTGGAGGAACTTACTTCAACTGAGGTAAGGCAGTATGACGTCAAATATTCGTTCTTATTACACAGGGCGAGAGCAAATTTCTTAAAATCGGTAACCAGCTGTAAACAAAGCTATAAACAATTTCTCTTACAAATGCGTATGAATTATACTGAACTCTGCCGGTGACTTCAGACATAGTTTGAGGGTGCCTGGGTTTTAAATTCCCGGTCCATTTAACCTTGCAATCGGTAAAGGAAGTTTGAGGGTGTCTGGTTTTTAAATTCCTGGTCCATTTAACCTTGCCTTCCAAAGGAAATTGCAATCGCGTACCAGACTTTTTTCCCGTGAATAACTTTGTACACGATCTCCATTTTTAATTTTGTACTAAGTTGTACTTTTAATCAGCTGTAATTCCTGCTGTACTTTTAGCAGCTGTTGTACTTTTAGCCAAGTTGTACTTTTAGCAGTTGTAATTCCTGGTCTATAGCTACTGAAGTGACACTGCGTCTACAGCTCAGCTGCAAAAGTTTTCAGATGTAAATTGATTATTTCGTAGCCCTAATGGATTTCGTCCCAATTTTTGTTGGCTTGTTTGCGGTCTGGTCTGTTTAATGTAAGTAACATGCAATTCAATTAAAAATTTCAAGTAGTGATCATGGGTTTTTAGTTTTTATGCACGCGTAAACTTTCTGTTTGAACAGAAATTTTTTGAAGCTGTTTTTTGAATTTAATTTCAAATTTTTGGATGCTCGGTTTTGATTTAGTTTTTTGTTCTCAAAGTGTGTGCAGATAGTTTTCAGCAACTTAGCGTCCTTTTTAGGTTTGAGTAATTTGATTTGAAATTCGTTCAAGGTCGTGGCACCTCGTATTGCTTAAATATGTCTAAAAGCTATCGAAATAAATTTATTGAAAGCTTTGCAGTTTTTTGCAGTTTTGGCTGTTTTTGTCTACGAAGGTATTTAACGAATATTGCTTGAGATTTGAATGTATGAATTTTTGCGTTTTATTTTCATACTTAATAAATTTGATATAATTGGGTTAGTTTTCTAGGATTTCTAGTTTTCATAAAGTGTCTGTACTGTAATTTCTTTTTGTTGTAATTGCTTGAAAATGTTGTATTCAAGTTCTTTTAAATATCTGTTTTCAATTTTGATCTTCCATGTTGAGTTTAGAGTATAGCAAGCAAAGAATAGTGTCTTCTGATTCTAGTTTTAAAAAATACAATTTTTCAAATTAGTGTCTTTTTTTCTGTGCGGTGTCATAGTAGTAGCATCTGACGAAAAATTAGAAGATAGGTATATTTGACAGTCATAGTCAAAAGGGCCAATTGGAAAACAGTTTTTGTTGAAAAATGACTAGAAATACGAAAAAAATGTAAATTAAATTTTACTAGTTTTGTTTCAATGGTTATGTACTGCTGGCAATCATCTCTCTCGCTAGCAATATTCCTAAGATGAATTTAATTCGACACAAAGTATAAAATTTTGGTAGAATCAGACCTAGATATCGCTATTTTTTCAGAACATTTTGTTTCAACTAAGTGGCTTTTTTCTTACTTTTTTGTCTGCTATCTAGCCATGATATCTTTGCTTTGTAATGCACGATTGTTGATGCTGCGGCAGGTTGTTGAAATATTCATTCTGTTTCTATAAGTAGCACTCTGATTCCGAAATCTGTGTAAAAGATTTTATTATGAAAGTGATTTTTTTGTGAGTAAGCTTACAGAATTTTTTGTGAAAGTGCATTTTTTCTACTTGTGGTAATCAAGTTTGATATTACAGTATAGTATCCAGACATTGCCTATGGCATCAGTTCCCTTCCCGCCACCCCTGGAGGAAGCGGTATCCGAGGAAGTGTACAATGCTTATGTTCTAACTCCGCCGGGTACTCCGGAGCCAGAGGAGGTTGACCCTAACGTGGTTGTCTCCGGAGAAGTAGAAGGAGCTGAAGGAAGTCGATCGGCCGAGAGTGCGGCTCTCCTCCAAGGTAAAAAACCAGCGGTCTAAATTCAGTCTAAATTCAGTCTTCTGTACCCTAAATTCAGTCTTCAGGGACGAATATTTGGCTTGGATGTATGAGTGTACCTCACGGTGTTTTTTACACAAGCGAAGCGTACCGTATTATTTCGAAGAATTTTGTTTTCTAATCTAAGTCGCAAATAAAAGTGCTCATTTGGTGGCACCTTTGGTGCATTTCAATTTAATCTTTTTTTAAACCTATTTAAGCATCAGCAATTTTAAAGCATATGTTTCTGCTGTATTTTTGGCCTGTGTTAGGTCCTGTTTGGAAAAAATAGGTATAATGAAAATGTATGGGTTTTTTTGTTTCGTTTGCAACGCTTTGGAAAATTTTCGCACTTCTCGCCGAAATTTCAATTTTTCTCAAAAACTACTGCGCCAATATTCAAAAAAGGCACCAATGGAGAAACTGGCTGTTTTTCTATGTGCTTGCATTTTTCGTTTTATCAAACGTTCCACTTTTTATTTGCGATTTTTGACCTATTTGTGAGTTTTTTCAGTTTCTCAAATATGTATTGCACAAATTTGAGATGAGGTTTTCAATAAAATTAAAAAATTATGGTGATCTCCCCTTTTTAAGTGGCTCTACCCCAAATTCGGAAGAAAAAAGTTATAACCTAAAACAAGACCATTTTTTGACACCAATTAAACTAACATGGTGCTTGGATTTTCCTTGCGCAAGCTTCCTTACGCTATTTATTTGTAGAAAAGCTGAAATGAACTTCGGAAAAATCCATTTTTTGAAATTTATCCTGTTTTTTTTTCATTTTGAATTTTCATCTTTTCTCGAAAACTACTAGCTAATTCTGGTATCAAGGGTTCAATCTAAAAGTCAATGTGTGGACTTCTTCCCTGCTTAAGAGGCTATTCCCATGCTTAACTAGAGAAAAGTTTATGGATTTAGGAAGTAATTCTTTTTCGAAAACTAACCGGCCAGATCTGAGATAGAGACTTCAATTCAAAGAGCGGCACCTTTTGTGAGTAAGGGTCAACCTCCTGGGTTGAGTTTTTCCTTAAAATAAGCGGCTAATCCCCTACTTATGCAGAAATCTCTAGGGTTTTGCGTAAAGTCCTTTTTTTGAGTGTATCAGTACAAAATATGATTACGCTTGCAATAAGCAAGCGTTATCAAACTGGAATATACCATTTTTTTTCCGAGTTAACAACTAGTATAACAAGATCAGTTGAATCACTTCTTTTCAACTCTCTTATCTTCTCTTCACATCTCTTCTTACCTTCTGTTAACACGTTCCAGTTTGCTTCTTCCTTGGCCTGGATGTAAAGCAGCTGCTTTTGTACCCTCAGGTTTGCGGTTCGTTCGTGGCGGGATCTTGTTTTCTTAAGAGTAATGAACGTAGTGAAGACAGTTATATAGGTCTTGCTGATTTTCTGTTGGTTTTTTTTTCAGGAAAAAGTTCAAAATATTGATGCACTTAGGTTTATATGCAATTTTTGAGTTCAATTGAAACGCATCTGCTCAAAGTGACGTAAATAAAACTCTCCAAATACGATTGTAGAAATGGCCGCAAAAAAAAAACGTGAACGATTTCTAAATTCGAAAGTGGAATTTAATTTTTAGATTTCCAGCGGAATAAAAAACTTTACCTATTGATCCAGTTTTCTCTAGTTGGGGTCATGTTATCAAAAAGCACCAATCATAAATCGTTTTAGAACTTCAAAGAGCTTAAAGGGCATCTATTTTTTCTTTTAAAATCGAAAGTTGAGATTTATTTCAGGAAAGTCTGTTTTTTTTTTAATGTTCACTTGCGTTCATTACTTTTTTCTGATCTTGGCCGTGTTTTTTTTCAGGCTTAATAGGTTTCGGCCTACATCATATCGGCTTAGTAGCTTCATATTGTTTCCTTTGAAGAGCAAATAAAGTTTGTGCGTTTTGAGGGTGAGGTGGACTCTAACTTTTTCAGAAGTCTGAAGTCCTGTTGATTTTTTTGGCTCAAAGGGTTTCTGACAAGGTAGCTTCGACTTTGTATCAAAAACGTCAATAACAGGTAAGATATCGTTCAGTTTCAACTCAATTAGACGTATCTTCATTTGCGTATGATTTGTTTATTACAAAATTTGTTTTTAGCCCAAGTTGGTCTAAATGGATGAAAAACCGCCATTCGAAAAACTACAAGTGTTGTCCGTTGCTGTGCAAGTAGCACTGACTGTTCCGTCCACATTAAAAAAAACTACGAACGGTTGTTTTCTTTGAATTAGTGTCGTTTTTTTGTGGATGGTGTGATGAGAGAACGAAACCATTTCGTCGAAACAGTTGTCTTCAAAAAATGAATTGCAAAAAACTTAAAATTTTCGAACATTTTTTAACTAAATTTTTGCACAACTTTTTTGGTTTTCAAAAAATGCTTATTGGAGAAGTAGAAGCAGCTGAAGGAAGTCGATCGGCCGAGCGTGCGGCTCTCCTCCAAGGTAAAAAACCAGCGGTCTAAATTCAGTCTAAATTCAGTCTTCTGTACCCTAAATTCAGTCTTCAGGGACGAATATTTGGCTTGGATGTATGAGTGTAACTCACGGTGATCTCCCCTTTTTAAGTGGTGATCTCCCCTTTTTAAGTGGCTCTTCCCCAAATTCGGTAGAAAAAAGTTATAACCTAAAACAAGACCATTTTTTGACACCAATTAAACTAACATGGTGCTTAGATTTTCCTTGCGCAAGCTTCCTTACGCTATTTATTTGTAGAAAAGCTGAAATGAACTTCGGAAAAATCCATTTTTTGAATTTATCCTGTTTTTTTTTTCATTTTGAATTTTCATCTTTTCTCGAAAACTACTAGCTAATTCTGGTATCAAGGGTTCAATCTAAAAGTCAATGTGTGGACTTCTTCCCTGCTTAAGAGGCTATTCCCATGCTTAACTAGAGAAAAGTTTATGGATTTAGGAAGTAATTCTTTTTCGAAAACTAACCGGCCAGATCTGAGATAGAGACTTCAATTCAAAGAGCGGCACCTTTTGTGAGTAAGGGTCAACCTCCTCGGTTCAGTTTTTCCTTAAAATAAGCGGCTAATTCCCTACTTATGCAGAAATCTCTAGGGTTTTGCGTAAAGTCCATTTTTTGAGTGTATCAGTACAAAATATGATTACGCTTGCAATAAGCAAGCGTTATCAAACTGGAATATACCATTTTTTTTCCGAGTTAACAACTAGTATAACAAGATCAGTTGAATCACTTCTTTTCAACTCTCTTATCTTCTCTTCACATCTCTTCTTACCTTCTGTTAACACGTTCCAGTTTGCTTCTTCCTTGGCCTGGATGTAAAGCAGCTGCTTTTGTACCCTCAGGTTTGCGGTTCGTTCGTGGCGGGATCTTGTTTTCTTAAGAGTAATGAACGTAGTGAAGACAGTTATATAGGTCTTGCTGATTTTCTGTTGGTTTTTTTTTCAGGAAAAAGTTCAAAATATTGATGCACTTAGGTTTATATGCAATTTTTGAGTTCAATTGAAACGCATCTGCTCAAAGTGACGTAAATAAAACTCTCCAAATACGATTGTAGAAATGGCCGCAAAAAAAAACGTGAACGATTTCTAAATTCGAAAGTGGAATTTAATTTTTAGATTTCCAGCGGAATAAAAAACTTTACCTATTGATCCAGTTTTCTCTAGTTGGGGTCATGTTATCAAAAAGCACCAATCATAAATCGTTTTAGAACTTCAAAGAGCTTAAAGGGCATCTATTTTTTCTTTTAAAATCGAAAGTTGAGATTTATTTCAGGAAAGTCTGTTTTTTTTAATGTTCACTTGCGTTCATTACTTTTTTCTGATCTTGGCCGTGTTTTTTTTCAGGCTTAATAGGTTTCGGCCTACATCATATCGGCTTAGTAGCTTCATATTGTTTCCTTTGAAGAGCAAATAAAGTTTGTGCGTTTTGAGGGTGAGGTGGACTCTAACTTTTTCAGAAGTCTGAAGTCCTGTTGATTTTTTTGGCTCAAAGGGTTTCTGACAAGGTAGCTTCGACTTTGTATCAAAAACGTCAATAACAGGTAAGATATCGTTCAGTTTCAACTCAATTAGACGTATCTTCATTTGCGTATGATTTGTTTATTACAAAATTTGTTTTTAGCCCAAGTTGGTCTAAATGGATGAAAAACCGCCATTCGAAAAACTACAAGTGTTGTCCGTTGCTGTGCAAGTAGCACTGACTGTTCCGTCCACATTAAAAAAAACTACGAACGGTTGTTTTCTTTGAATTAGTGTCGTTTTTTTGTGGATGGTGTGATGAGAGAACGAAACCATTTCGTCGAAACAGTTGTCTTCAAAAAATGAATTGCAAAAAACTTAAAATTTTCGAACATTTTTTAACTAAATTTTTGCACAACTTTTTTGGTTTTCAAAAAATGCTTATTGGAGAAGTAGAAGCAGCTGAAGGAAGTCGATCGGCCGAGCGTGCGGCTCTCCTCCAAGGTAAAAAACCAGCGGTCTAAATTCAGTCTTCTGTACCCTAAATTCAGTCTTCAGGGACGAATATTTGGCTTGGATGTATGAGTGTAACTCACGGTGATCTCCCCTTTTTAAGTGGTGATCTCCCCTTTTTAAGTGGCTCTTCCCCAAATTCGGTAGAAAAAAGTTATAACCTAAAACAAGACCATTTTTTGACACCAATTAAACTAACATGGTGCTTAGATTTTCCTTGCGCAAGCTTCCTTACGCTATTTATTTGTAGAAAAGCTGAAATGAACTTCGGAAAAATCCATTTTTTTGAATTTATCCTGTTTTTTTTTCATTTTGAATTTTCATCTTTTCTCGAAAACTACTAGCTAATTCTGGTATCAAGGGTTCAATCTAAAAGTCAATGTGTGGACTTCTTCCCTGCTTAAGAGGCTATTCCCATGCTTAACTAGAGAAAAGTTTATGGATTTAGGAAGTAATTCTTTTTCGAAAACTAACCGGCCAGATCTGAGATAGAGACTTCAATTCAAAGAGCGGCACCTTTTGTGAGTAAGGGTCAACCTCCTGGGTTGAGTTTTTCCTTAAAATAAGCGGCTAATCCCCTACTTATGCAGAAATCTCTAGGGTTTTGCGTAAAGTCCTTTTTTTGAGTGTATCAGTACAGAATATGATTACGCTTGCAATAAGCAAGCGTTATCAAACTGGAATATACCATTTTTTTTTTCGAGTTAACAACTAGCTTAACAAGATCAGTTGAATCACTTCTTTTCAACTCTCTTATCTTCTCTTCACATCTCTTCTTACCTTCTGTTAACACGTTCCAGTTTGCTTCTTCCTTGGCCTGGATGTAAAGCAGCTGCTTTTGTACCCTCAGCTGCTTTACATTTAATTTCGAACATTATTTTACTAAGTTTTTGCACAACTTTTTTGGTTTTCAAAAAATGCTTATTGGCATAGAAGCGCTGAATGAAGCTTCCAAAACTAGTTTTGATTTCTTGAATAAAACTAGCGGAATAAAAACTTTACCTGTTGATCCAGTTTTCTCAAGTTTGGTGGTTAATGTTATCAAAAAGTGCCAATCATAAATCGTTCTAGAACTTCAAAGAGCTTAAAGGGCATCTATTTTTTCTTTTAAAACCGAAAGTTGAGATTTATTTTAACACAGTCGTGTTTTTGTTTGTTTACTTGCGTTCATTACTCTTTTCCAATCTTCGATTGGCTATGTTTTTCAGTATCAAGGAAAATGAAGTAATAGTTCCGACAAAAATGAATAGTTGGTTTTTCGTTTTTTCGCTCAGGTTTTGTCGGATAAATTGCCACAACGGTATTTGCTTGTGCTCTAGACACTTTTCCTTCTAGTTGCAAGTGCAAATGTTGTTCATTCTAATTTCAAGGGGGGACTTAAAAGACTTCAAAAAATTGCAAAAATAATTTTTTTTCGGTGCAGTTAGCGTCTGGTCGCAGATGATCGGCTTAGTTGCCATACCGCTGATTTTTCTTGCTGTTAGCAGTTTTCATTGTAGTGCAAATGCTGTTTATTCTAGTTTCAAGGGGGATTTTAAAGATTTTAAAAAAGCAAAAATCCTTTTTTTTTGTTCAAGTGGTTTCAGCTCATAGATTGTTGGCTTAGTTGCCACATCACTGATTTTTCCTGGGCTGCAAACAACTTTCATTGTAGTTGCAAGTGCAATTTGTTGTTTAAGAACGTGGGACTTAGAATGTTTTTTTTATAAAATCTTTTTTTTTCGGCTCAGCTTGTGTCTGCTCGAAGATTGTCGGCTTTGTTTCTTTTCCTAATTTTTGATCTGTTGTTGCTGATTTAAAATTCAAGTTTCTGTCATGTTTGCCTGGAATGAACATCTATCGAGACATATGAAAGTTCATATGACCTAGTTTTTTTTTCAAAATTTCATTTTAGACTTATGTTTTTATTTTATGCTAGTATTGTACCGCAAGTGGTGCGAAGCTCTGCGTCACTTCTGTGTTAAAAGCGTTTAAACTGGTGGATCCAGCATTAGCTGGACCACTAGTTAACTTCCACGCGACCGCGGCGCAGATGCGAGGACGTGAGACTCCTTATAAACAGGTCGGAGGTTCAAAGCTGGAACTTGATAGTATTTTTTTGGTCGAGTTTGCTGCGTAGCATTGGCAATTTGATAGAAACTGTAGCTGCCTTAATGATGGCCAGTATGTGCGAAATTACAATATGTTGCGGTCGTGGAGCAGATGTGATACTCTTAATCTCACAGTTTTTTTCTCAAGGTGTATTTCAAATCTTTTCCTTATTTCATTTTGTTTGCTTAGAGCTTTTTTTTCTTCATTTTACTTGCTTGAGTTTGCCTCTTTTTAGCGATTGAAATTATGTCTGCGCAAAAAACCGTTCAAGCTTCTACTTCATCTAGACATCCTTTTCATATGTGGTTAGTTACCCTTAAAAAACAACTTGGGATGTATCAATTTTCAGAGTTTCCTGAAAAGTAGCTTTTGATTTACAAGCGACTTTTCGCTTCAGTTATCAGAAATTTTTCAAAGTGCGACACTTGGTACAATTGAGCCTTTTAAATTTTTACTGAGCAATAAAGTTATTTAGGTCGAATTACCCTCTTCAATACAAATTTGTGTATGGCTCGTTTAAACGTGAATGATCTTAGATTCAAAGTTGATTTTGATCTTCAGATTTTCCACTGGAATAAAAAAGTTCAATTAGATCGAAGTATTTTGTGTTATATTACGAGTATATATTTTTTCGAAACCTACTCGAACATTTTGCGTTCAGTTATTTTGAATGCGAGCTTAATATCATATTACGCACTCGAGTATTTTTTAACCTAACTCGCAATTAAAAGTTCTGATTTTGGTGGAACTTTTGTTCTATATTATTGACAGTTTTACAGCTTGTTTCTTCATTTCATTACTGACTAGTGTTTGGTTTCTTTAGGATCCAGTGGTATAGGTTTGTACGACAGTCGACTTTAGTACTTGGGTGTCCGAGCAGTAAGGTTGGAATCTCGGAGAGGTCATTTGTTTTCCAAACATATTTTACTTTTTATTTTGCTTTTTTTCTCGATTTTGACTCATTTAAAGCTAATTCTTGTCGTTGTTTCGCTTGTGTTAGCGAAGTGCAGCTTCGCCCTTCTTTACATTATTTCTGCTTTTTGTATGATTAATGCTTTGCAAGTGTATGTTGGCTAACTTGTTTGTGTTGCAGAGATGAGTGAAAAAGAGGACGAAATTCTGACTGAGCTGACGGTTGACCAGATTCGATACATTGTCAACAAATTGGCAGCTCAGGAGATTGGAACCTTCCAGGTAGGACAAAAATTTGATCAAAGAAGCAATTTTATGAACACAGTGAAGACTGTTATAAAGGGTTTAATGAACGTGAATAATGAGTAATGAACGTAGTGAAGAATTATATAGGTCTATTTTTTTCTGTCTTATAATTTGTTCACGCTCAATTATGATTTTTCGCGGTTTGGCTTTTGTTTTCAAGTTCAATTTATTTCCATTATTTAAGGGAAGGCAAACTGCACTATCGAACAGCAAAAGCTTAAAGGGTACGAAAAACATGACCGATTTCTAGTTCCGAAAGTGGATTTTGATGTTCAGATTTCATTGCGGAATTAAAAATTTACCAATATGATCCGGGTTTCTCAAATTGGGGTAATTTTCATCCAGAAAGTGCCAATCATGAATTGTTCTTGATATTCAGAGGGCTTTAAGGACGTATATTTTTTCTGTTAAGTTTCCTTGCGTTCGTTTCTCTTTTCCAACTGTCAGTTGACTATGTGTTATACTTGAGAGAGTAAGTGAATTGCAATTGGGTACTGGACTTTTTCTCGTGGAGAAAATCAAACTGGAGCTCTCCATAGGACTCGTCTACTTGAGGTCTCAGTTGAAATTTAATTGTAACAGACGTATTTTGAGCAAATTTACATTTAAATAACCCATTTTTTGGAAATTCATTCTCAAGCGTAAAAAGACGAAGGTATTTTCACTTAGATAGTCTTGGTGTTGTTCTTTATTATTTTTTGAAACTTCAAAATGCTCTAATAACTACATTTTATGAACACACTTAGTTATATATTCATTTTTGAGTTTCTGTTAATGAATTTTGATACATTGCGCTTGAAGTTCAAAGAGCTTTAATCTGATTACCTTTGCGATAGCAAGTGTCATTTAATTGGTAACAAGGCTTTTTTTTCTGAAAGCCGCTTTTCTTACAATTCTTACTTGTTTTATTATTGAACCTTCCAGGCTCGTCCCACGTAGGCTAGCTTACAGGTCGAGTCCCGGCTGGACCTTGTTTTTTTCCGGTAAACATTGAAGTGTCAGACTTTCGTTTGTCTGTGCAAGTTTTCTCGTCTTACTTGCCCTATCACGGATTTTTTTGCTAGATATTTTCGTTATATTTGCAAGTGTTGTTCATAGTAGTTTCAGGGGAACTTTCATCGAGACTTAGTAACATGGTAGTAGATCAAGTTTTATCAACATTTTTAATACTTTGTTGACTTTTTAAGATTCAATGAACATAGTTCAGACTCTTATTTAGGTCGCGATGATTTTTTTTTCGATTTTTTCACGAAAGCCTCAAAATTTGTTCAGGCTCAAATTTACTTTTTGGCGGTTAAACAGTTCTTTTTAAATACAGTTCCTTTTCATTGTTGAAAGGAAGGCAAACTCCATTATCGACCAGCGAAAGTGTAAAGGTCGTGAAAAACGTGATTGACTTCTTACTGACTATGGCTAATTATCTGTTTTTTTTTTTTAGTTCAATTCAATTTCATTGGCTTGGAACGTAAATTACGATCATCACAAAATGTAACTCGCGCCTCAAAACTGAATAAAAAGAGTAAAAATGTGATTTTTTCTGAAATCTAGTTTTTTCTAATCCGTTTACTTTTATAAAGCAAGTGCGAAGCATAAAAAGTGCTTAATTCTCAAAAAAAAGTAAACTGTTTTTACGGTATCCTTGAGTCCGCTGCTGTTTTCTTATTTTCTGTTGGGCTAGCTTTTTACTTAGAGTTTAGTTTTAATCAATGCTTGTTTTGCAGAATTTCGCAATTTTTTTTTGCTATGAACTACAGGGCAGGTGAATAAAAACATGGGCTGTTTTGAAGTGTTTTAAAAAAACTGTTTTTTAATGCAGAATTGCAAATTTGACTGCGTGCATGCAAAATACGAAATTCCATTGTGAGTGCGGTCAAAAAGTAGACAAGCTCTTTTTCATACCGGTCAAAATGTAGATAAATACTATATTAACCAATCAGAATCGAGAACAGAAAGCAAACTTAGGAAATTAAATAGGAATTCCTGTTCTCGATTCTGATTGGTCAATATAGTAGTTTTCTACTTTATGGCATGTCTAATCTCTGAGTATACTTTTTGCTGAGAAACTATTCCCCTGCCACTTGATTCCTCCAAAGTGAGTCTACAGTTCTTTCAACAAACTATCAAATGCGCATTTGCCATGGCAGCTTGCGTTCAGCATAATTGGCTATGTCAAAGGTGACCTCCGAAACAGCCTCTCACCAGAGAAAACTGAGATACTAGCGTTTTGTATGCGCTGCTTGAAAAAATGATTTTTCGCAAAAAAAAAACATGCAACTTGTTTAAAACAGTTCTAAACGTTTTCTTCTTAAAATTTTTTTTTGACCAGCCCTGTTAAAATATAAATTTCTCAAAAAGTTTTATAATCAAAAGTATAAATCATAACCATAGTTTCTGTAAAAGATGAATCTAGTAGTATCTCACTTTTTCTGTTTTAAAGAATGAAGTGATATTTCCCTTTATTTGTAGGAATTTTTTTTTGCTTTGTGTTATAAGTTTATATATACTTTTTGTTTATATTGACCTCTCGCGGTCTTGAACGATTGATGCTTTCACATTAAACATTGCTCATGGAAACGCGCTTGAACGCAATTCTTACTGAAAAAAGGGGGAAATTGGCGGCATAATTTTAGGCTTGCATCGTGTTTTTAATGTGCAAAATTTTCATGATTAATCAAATTACCTATGTATTCAATGGAGTTCTTTGTATCGAAAAAGTGAATCAAATTGTTCTGGTGTGCTCTATTTTGTTTTTTTTTATACCCATGAAATATTATGTAACCAAATCTCCTTTGGCTTCCATGATTAAGTGTGTCAATGAACGTTGTGAAGACACTTACATAAGTCGTGTTGGTTTTGTTTGGTTTTTTTTCAGGAAAAAGTCTTAATGTTTTTCACGCTCAAATTTGATTTTTCGCCGTTTGTATTTTGCTTTCTTTTTGAGTTCATTCAAATTCATTTGGTAATAAGACGGTAAATTACGCTCTCGAAGTACGAAATTACAACAAGCGCGAAAAAACGTGAATGATTTTTAGTTTTCTCTAAATGGATTGGTTTTATGATAAAGGAAAAGGTGCCAATCATAAAATATTCAAGAAATCCATAGAGCGTTAACGTGATGTTTTTTTTTCGAAAACTGAAAAGTATTCAAAAAAAACTTTCGCTGTTCATTATTGACACTTCCAACTTTCTTTTGGCTACGGTTTATAACTTGCTCTCGGCAAAGACTTGAATTTCATTTTAAAGAAAATTTAGTTTTTGTTTGTGATTCTAAGCTGTGTTTGATTCGTGATCTTATTTTTATAACTTTGCAAGTTATTTTTTTTCAGTCAGCAACTTTTTTTTTTACAAAATCTGAGAAATTGAATGTTGTCTCAATCAAAACATCAATTACTGTAACACAACTGCCCATTTTCTAGAGTTAAAACATTCGTTTGATGCTCCATTGTTACCCTACTAAGCAAAATATGAGCTGGAAATTGAGGTCCAAGAATTTACATGCATTTTTTAAATAAAAGTTTCAATTTTGATTTTTATTGAAGATTATGAATACAAATTTTCGAAAGTTTATCAGTTTAGCTTCTCTTTGAACTTGAGGTACAAGAAAGCCATAGATGGAACCTTGTATCTTAATACATGCTGTTACCAACAATGTTGCAATTGGTTACAAGATTCATATTCTCGCGTTACAATCTTTTTTCATAGATTTGAGCTTTTAGTACGTTCATTGCAATACCATTTGCGATATTGCGGTATATAAAGTATTTGAAATTATTAAATTATTGATCATGTTTTATCAAGAAAAGTTTCGAATGACTTGATTCGCCCTAAGTTTCAATTTTATTGTCAATTTTTTGGTCAGATTTAGCTCGGAAAGCTTTTCAAATTTCTCGCCTGGAAATACTTTCGTTTCATCTATGCTTTACTTCTTAACATACCGGGCATTGAATTCGCATTAAGCAGGCATGTAAATGCTTTTACTTTGAGCTCTTCGGTGTTGATAATTATCTCAAAACTTCTGTTCATTTTAGGAAGAGTACCACAATAAACTGAAGGAGCGCGAGGGAGCTTACTTGCAAAGAATTACGAAGCTAGCCAAGAGTGTCGACGTGTAAAGCTACAAAAATAGGACGAGTGTTAGCAGCTATAACAACTCTATTCTTTGAAGATCCCAGCGAACTGTAAAATACATAATTCAAATTTTAATTCCGCAGAATCTGTACATTGTAAAATCTGTAAAAAATGTTAGTTTTGGATTTTAAGAGTAAATAACATAGTGAGTACTCTTATATAGGTCTTGGTGATTTTTTTGTTCTTTTTTCAGGAAAAAGTCTTGAAATTTGTATACGCTCAATTTTTATTTTTATTTGCGATTTGACTTGTGATTTCTTTTTGAGTTCAGTGGATTTCCATTGTTAAAAGGAAGGCAAACTCCACTATCGAACAGCAACAGTGTAAAGGTCACGAAATACATGATCGACTTCTAATTTCGAAAATGGAAATTAATATAAGTTTAGCCAGCGAAATAAAAGTTTTACTTATTGATCCAGTTTTCTCAAATATGTTTTTTTTTATAAATTAACCATCATAAATTGTTCTACAAATTCAAACAGGCCGTCTATTTTTTCTTCGAAATTCAAAAATTTCAGTTTTTGAAAAAAGAAGTAATTTTTTTTCAGTTTTCTTGCGTTTATTACTGTCAGTTGGCTATGGTTCAAAGTTTTGGCCCAAGCTGTTCTTTTTACTTCCCTGTGCATCTCAGCAAATGTAGTAATGAGGATATTAGTGTTCGAGTAAAGAAAGTCTTCTCAATCTCACTTTTCACATTTTGCACTTTTAGGACATATTTCTGGCTGACCGATGAATATGAAGTGTCAATGAACGAACTGGAAATTCTCAATGAGCATATGAAGACACTTATATAGGTCGCGCTGATTTTATAGAATCCAAAGCTGTTAGCCAAATTTGATTTTTTTGGGGTTTGACTAGAGCTTTTGAAGCTCAATTTTGTTTGCTAAAAATTGTTTGCTAAAAGGAATGTAAAGTATTCTATCCATTAATGAGACATTTATTTCAAAATTAGATTTGGATTTTAAGATTATCGAGAGTTTTATATACATTGATCCGGTTTTCTCAAATTGGGTATTATTTTTCTGTATAAAAGGTCACTCATAAAATCTATTATTTATTTAAATGCGGGCTTCCTTAACTCGCCATGTTTAAGCTTTTTCAATGTACTAATTTTGCAGGTTTAAAGAAAGAATATTTGTTTGTTTAACTTATATCGTATATTGCAATGGTCAAGATTTTTTTCTAGCTTGAATTCCAAGTTTTTTTTCGTCAAGTTTGAAATTAGCAACCCAAGAGTAGTAGGCTGTCAGGGTTGTCCGAGGGGTTGCAAATTGGGCCTCTAAATATGAATACTGAAATATTTTTTACTTTACGACGTACGAAGATTCTTGTGATTTTTTTCGAAAGTTTTCGTATTACTTAGATTTTAAAAATTTCATTTAAATTGTAATTTCAATCCTGTTTTGTATCAACCCTGTTTTGTTTCAAGGTTGCAAATCTTGCCTTGAAATATCTCTGCTCAAATTTTTTCAGTTTGCGATAAATGATGTTTTTTATGATTTTTGAAAAATGTTCAAAGGACGTATTTATAAAAACATGGCAATATTTTTTATTAATATCAACTCCATGATGTGAAATGATGTCAGGGTACTTTCAGGTGTTGCAGGTTGTGCCTTCAAATATGACTGCTCAAATCCTTTTAGTTTCCAAGATTTGACGTTTTTTATGATTTTTGTTTTCAAAAAATTTTTCAAATAAACTTTTTATTAAAACTTGACAAAAGTTGAATTTCTCATCCCCTTTTTCGGTTGTTGTCAGGTTACTCTCAGGGGCTCCAATTTTGTCTCCATGTATGACTGCTCAAAACCTTTTAGTTTCCGAGATATGACGTTTTTAAAATTTTTTCAAAAGTTTGCAAGTAACTTAGATATACAAAACTTGACAAAAGATGAAATTCTCAGCTCTATAGTGTAAGGTGAGGTGCTATCAGGTGCTACAAGTCTTGCATCCTAATGTGACAGAGCTCAAGTCTTTTCCTCAGATTTGATGTTTGATGATTTTTTCATAAATTTTCAGAAAATTTAAATTCAAAAAATTCCACAAACCTTTAAAATGCCAACCCTGTCATCATGTGCTACCGAGGTACTCCCAGGAGTTGCAAATATTGCTTCCAGAGGTGACTGCTCAAATGCTTTTGGTTTTCAAGATGAAACATTTTTAATAAAATAGAAAAAAATTGAATTAGAAAAAAAATGTTTCAAAATTTGAAATTCCCAACCCTACAGGTGGGGTAATCTCCTGGTACTCACAGAGTTTGTAGATCTTGCGCACAAGTTTGATTGCTCAAATCAGCTTAGTATTGAGATATGCTGTTGCTTATGATTTATCAAAATTTTTCTAAAAACTTAAGATTTAAATAATTTTCAAGTTCGACACTGGCGAGATGCTCCCAGCTACTCTCTGGATGTTTGTCTGGACTCCACTTATGACTGCTCAATGCCGTTATGACTGCTCAAGCGTTTTTTTGCTTTTTGAAAATTTCCAAAAGTGTTAATTTTGAAACATACTTTTCAAGTTTAGAAGTTTCGACCTTTTGGTGGGTGATGTCAGGTTACTACCAGCGGATGCATGTGTGGCCTCTCATCCTATTATTATCGCTCAAAATCAAAAGCGTTGTTGGATTCCCTCGTCTTTTTTTACGGTTGCATTAATTTCGGAGTGTTTTTACATATATTTTTTGTATAAGCAGCTATCATGTTCACTAATCTGTTTGAAGCACCGGAGGTGCGTTACACGCTAGTATATCTGAAACTTTTTTCATGTCATAGGTGGATTTTTTAGAAATCATTTAATACTAAATGTTTTCTGTTCTTTTTTTTCGAAAATTCTTCAAAAACAAGCAATTGTTCTTTTACGAGTTTCTTGTGTTATTGGCGCTTTTCCATGCGTGTTAGCTGTCTTAAGGAAAACATATTTTTGGCTAGGTATTTTTGGTCAGAAAAGTCTTGTGAGTTTCGTTGTGTTTACACTATCATTTCTGTTTTGGCGATACGACGTTTTGTTTCATTTTATCCGTAGTGAAAGCAAAGAATATGGGACCCCCTATTTGTTCCAGTCCGTAGCAAAGTGTACTATATTGCCGTTTGAATTTGGAAAATTCCAATTTTTGCAATGCAGTCTATCAGTAGGTCTTAAAATTCGTTTTCACGTCCCTAAAAGCTCGAAATTAATCAAGAGTTGAATTTTTTGTGCTAATTTTTTTGAGTTGACAGTTTTTTAGTTTCGTTTAGACATTGATGTTGCGGCTACGAGCAGCCGCAATCTCCTATGTATACTTAGCGAATAGTAAAGGATTAGATGCATACTTGCCAGTTGGACCTTCATACTCAAAAATGTGCATATTGCCCAGCGCTGAGCCTCGTGGGTTTCGGTTCTGTAGTTGTAGTTGTAACCAGAAAAGCCATAAAATACAGTGTAACAATTACTCACAGATGTCACATAAGAAGTTAGGATGACCATTTTTATAGCCATTGGCTCAACGGCCATAGACACTATCTCTCAAGCTTTTGTACATCAATTGATTGGTTTTGTACATATAACACTTTAAAATCATTACAGCTTAGAATTCTAACAAATTACCACCACTTAAGCAATCGAAATAACTTCTGAATATCTAGGTCCAATGATACCTAAATTACTCGAACGCCGATGGAAACTGGGTGGGGAAAAATTCTTGGTTTTTTCTTATTAGACATTGTGTACGTTAGACAATGTGTGTATTTCAGATGCTATCATTTGCCTCATTGCCCTAATTACGCAAGCAAAGATTGTGTTATAGGATGAACTATCTTTTTTCCAACTCAAGTCGCAAATATTGTTGCGACAAAATGTGTTCATTTTGATCAATAACCAGCTATTAAGTACAGTCAATGCTAAGGATATTAATACAGACTATTATATTACAAATAGCACTTTAGCATGAAATATCATGGATGTGTAGTGTAGAGGTAGGGAAGGAGACCCGCAACAAAATATGACGGTTCGATCCTGGGCAGGGTTGGATGTTTTTAATGAACTTTTTCATATACTATTTAAAATGCGTCCGCTCTATAAATTGAGGTAAATTTTATAGTTATTGGCAAATTTATTAGTTAATTGATAAATTTATTTTTTTCCAAGTTGACTGGTACTGCTTATGTCTCATAATTGGCTTGCGTCACGTAGCAATTGTGTAGACTTATAATTGGCGTGCTTCACTTAGGAAATTTTGTAGACTTAAAGTTTTACTCATTCCGTTTTTCCCACTAGCGTTATCAGTCATACTTTCGCTTGTGTCTACGAAGTGCAACTCTGCCTCTGTGTTACCCTAGCGATAAGCTGTGTTACTCTAGCGATAAGCTAGGGTATTTCAGTCGGCTACTAGACTTTTTCCCGTAAAAAACTTAGTTCACAGGACTCATCTTCTGGACGTATTCATCGACTGGTCTCTGTTGCAAATGCTACAACAGATGTTTTGAGCAGGTTAGCTTTCGTCCTATTTGGAGTTTGCTGCAAAATATGCTATTCGATGAACGTAGTTATTTGGGGTACTAAATTTTTTTTTCGTGTATAATAATTGAAAAAATGTTGATTTTTTTCCGGAATTGTGGTTTTCTCCCTTATTTCTTCCGGTTGATTTTTCGTTCTTTTTCAAATGCAATTAATATTATCTGGTAAGCTTTTCCAGTGGTTCTTTTTGAAAGCCGGGGTTTTTTTAACAGGCGATGAATATTCAGACTCTATTATAGGTCGCATTCGTTTTTTCAGGAATTTGTTCAGGCTCCAATCTATTTATTTCTATTGTCAAAAGTAAGACAAGCTCCACTATCGAACAGCAAAAGTGTAAAGGTCACTACAAAAGTGATCGACTTCTAGTTTCATAAGAGGATTTTTTCTATTTTCAGATTTCCGTGGGAAGTGAACCTTTACCTATTGATCCAGTTTTCTCAAGTTGTTACTTTATCAAAAAAGCACCAATCATAATTTGTTCTTGAAGTTCAAAGAGCTTTAAGGTCATAATTTCATCTGTAAAATTCCAAAGTTGAAGTTGGTCAGAAAACAAGTCTTTTTTTGGCCTTTTTCTTGCTTTCTTTCAGTCACCTGGCTGTGTTTTGAAAATTTTCAATCATTAATTGATCTAGAAATTCAAAGAGCTTTAAAGCCA